GCAGGGTTAATTTGCCGGAACTAAGTTTGACTTGTGTCCTGAATAGCACTCCAGTACATCGATTTTGTTATCAGCAAGAGTAGTTTTTGTGGCTTTCTGAAGCTGTTTCTGGGATTTTGTGTATTCTGTGCATTTCAGAAGACTGCACGAGCAGCGATAATGGTCGAAAAGCACGTCGATTTCGAGCATCTGAAAATCGCTTAATGTCCACAGCAGTAGCCGTCTACCGATATTGTTACAGTTTCGAACTCAGGTTTATTTGTTCCGATCTCAGGGCTCAAGTGCCATCGGATCCAAAGGCTGTTACTTTAGTTGAACACTTTGCAAATGTTTCAGTGGAAAAAATCTCAGTAAAAGTGTTTTATGTTGGCATGTTTGTCGCAGTACCTCGTTTTGTTACATTCCATTTTGTTATTGCGTAGAATCGCATTGTTGTATCAGTATCGGTAGCATAAATTGTTAAATACATTCAAAGAAAACAGCAAAAAAATGAAATACTTGCAGGGGATGTGACCCCATTTATAGCCCGTTTAAGGCTGAGTGAAATGAAGGTGCCATCGGGCCACAAATGGAAAACAACGCATCGTAATCATGGTCCACCAGTGCTTGATGACTGTGAGAGCACACGATGCCACTCGGCCCCTTTCCTCGGCTCATCTTCTGTGGAATCTTTCGCACGCTTCGCTTTGCGCAGTGCCGTCAGCGGTAAATGAATCAGTCGTCCGTTACTCAATTTCAGTAAGCAGCAGGTTTTGCCGATTAGCTGAATTGTAATTTTAATTTTAGATGGTATAAAGAAGTAAGGGAATAAAAGGGGAATGTGAATAAGTTAAAATCTGAATTAAAATCTGAATGGGAGTGTTTCGGTCCATCAAGTCGCATACATCCCTGTTCAGTACTGCAAATGGACCTCGTCAGTGTGACGGTTGCAGCAAAAATAACATGCAGTGTGTCAAAAAAGGAAAAGGAAAGTTAAGATAAAATAGAAAGGTTAAAGCAAAAGCCAGTAGCTGAAATGGTGTTTGAGAATTAGCCAGCATTGCTCCTGGGCAGTCTATTGTGCCTTCAGATTTAATGAAATTTGGCAAAATTTGTTTTTGAGGGATAAGGTCATGCGCCTGTTGACTCTGGCTTTCTTTTAGCTTACGAATCTGTTATTACTTTCGGTCCTCTGCGATGAAGTTCGAGTGCCAGCGGAGAAAGGATGTGAGGGGATGATCCGCTCTCAAATGAGTGGTACCTGTGTTACGGTGGCGTTCATGTGCTTCATCTGGCCGGCCATCGCTTCCCATATGTCATAGCTGTACTCGAAGCTGTACGAGCATTTCGGGTCTTGCATCTGCAACACTCTCCTCATTTAGCACAAAGAAAAGTGGCTTATCGCCCACTGTAAACAGCTACTGATCACAGGAACAATGAAGAGGTACCAAGGGCGGGTCCAAAGGGGCTTCTTCGGAGAACAGGGGGGAGGTGTATGAGTCCTATCGGCGGCGAACGTAGGCGGGAGAATAGATCTGATCTATCCATTGGTAGATCTGTTGGGGCGACGAGCAACGGGGAAGGGA